ACACATGGACCACACCAGATGGAACACACAGAAATCAAATTGACTACATCTGTGGAAAGAGAAGATGGAAAAGCTCCATATCATCAATGAAGACAAGGCCAGGGGCAGACTGTGGAACAGACCATCAATTACTGATATGCAAATTCAAACTGAAGCTGAAGAAAATGAAAACAAGTCCACAAGAACCAAAATATGACCTTGAATTTATCCCACCTGACTTTAGAGATCATCTGAAGAACAGATTTGGTACATTAAACACTAAAGACCGAAGACCAGAAAGTTGTGGGATGACATCAAGAACATCATATGTGAAGAGAGCATAAAGTCATTAAGAAGACAAGAAAGAAAGAAAAGGTCAAAATGGATGTCAGAAGAGAATCTGAAACTTGCTCTCCAGCATAGAGAGGCTAAAGCAAATGGAAGAATTGAAGAGGTCCAAGAGCTGAACAGAAAATTTCAAAGATCAGCTTGAGAAGATAAAACCAAATACTATAATATGCAAAGATTTGGAATTAGAAAACCAAAAAGGAAGTACACTGGCAGGGGCCATATTAATCAAGGATTTGAAATGAAGGGATGACAGATTAATCAAGGAATTGAAATAAATAAATGAGACTATGGGGACCCTGCGCATGAAGAGCTCATTGTTCTAGCAAAGCGACAATGAATGTTTCCTTGAAATGGCAAAGCCACAAGGGAAAACTCTATGCAAAGGCCCTTAGTTATTAAAAGTTAGAAGCTACATTTATTTATTCTACTTGTAATCATTGGTAATTTTATACTTAACAATGTTCTTGCGACTACTAGGAGACAGGATTTGCCAGTTGAATTACTACCAGCTTAGGTTTAGTGATTATAAACATTCTTCCTTGTAACCTTAGTTCATGACAATAAGGAATTCTTAACTAGACCATGAATAAGGGCTATGGGTACACACAGATACATAAATAAAAAGCTTAATTTAGATGTTCTTAGATTGATAAGGTAAGTTGTTTTTCATGGCCTCAGTTTTGTAGATAAGTGATGTTTTTTGTAGGCTATAAACAGAGTATGGAGGAGGTTAACGAAGAATAATTGCACCCGACAGCTAAGATTGATGATTTAACAAGACTTAACAGATAGAGGTTAAGAACCATATGTAAAGGTTAGCTTGCACCTCAGAGAAAAGAATAAAAGTTATTTATGTAGGAACAAATGTTTAACCAAAAGGTTACAAGAAATTAGGATGTCACATATACTTTGATGTAATGTTTCTTTGCTGTAACTTCTTGTCCCTTTTGTAAATCTAAGGGTCGTAAACCATGAAGAATGTGCCCCCAGAATAGATTGTATTTTGAAGACATTGACTACTCTGAAAGCAATGTTTTTTTGTAACGGTATATAAGGGGGTTGTAAGATAGAATAAAGTAAGAGAGAAAGATCTTGAAATCATCACAACCCATCGACTCTGTGTGATTCCTTTTCGCCGATGCCACATCCTCCTTTGGAACCCTTGAATAAGTCTGCTGAGGCTGGTCCCCAGCAGAACACAGTCAGCATTTCTCAAACTGGGGGAACTGAAGAAAAAATTCAAGCCACGACTTTCGTTATTGAAAGATTCTCTGGGCAAATTATTAAGTGATGCAGAATGCATCAAGAAAAGATGGAAGGACTACAGAGAGTCATTGTACCAAAAGGAAATGGTTAATGTTCAACCATTTCAAGAGGTAGCATATGAACAAGAGCCAGTGATACTCAGGGAGGAAGTCCAAAGTGCATTGAAGGAATTGGCAAAGAACAAGGCACCAGGAATTGATGGAATAAAAATTGAAATCTTTCAAGAAAGTGAGGCGGCACAAGAGGCACTCACTCATCTCTGCCAAGAAATTTGGAAGACAACTATCTTGAAGAGCAAAGATGTCAGCTTAAGGACTAAGGTGCGCCTGACCCAAGCCATGGTATTTTCAATTACCTCATATGGATGCGAAAGCTGGACAGTGAATAAGGACGATGGTAGAAGAATTGATGCCTTTGAATTGTGTTGGAGGAGAATAACAAAAGTGCTATGGACTGCCAAAAGAACCAATAGATCTGTTTTGGAAGAAGTGCAGCCAGAGTGCTCCTTGGAGGCCAAGATGGCTAAACTTCGTCTCTCATACTTTGGACATATTGTCAGGAGGGAACAGTCACTGGAGAAGGATGAATGCTGGGTAAGATGGAGGGTCAGAGAAAAAGAGGAAGATCCCCAATGAGATGGATCGGCCAGGTGGCATCATTGATGAACTCAAGTGTGGCAGCGGTAGTGAGGTTGGCCCAGGATCGGACATTGTTTCATTCTGCTGTGCATGGGGTTGCTATGAGTTGGTTCCGACTCAATGGCATCTGACAACAGATTCTGAGGCTAGAAGGGCTGCACTGGCTCCGTCATTCACAGCCCGCACTAGGAGCGCTGTCTCTGCATTCTGTGTTCTACTTGGCAGCTTGGGGACTCATTCCTTTTACTCAACCCTTCCTCTTCTAGTTCCAACTTGACTCTGTACTTTTACCCAAAGAATAAAGACAAAAGCAAAGGGAAGAGAGTGTTCCCATGGCTATCCAAGCCCCAACCCATGCCTGTCTAGGGAGCCACTTTGAAGCCTAGGGAAACAAAGCACCTTTGGGGGCCACTTAATTCTTCCAGCAGCCAGGACTGAGATATGGTCATCCCATTTTGAGGCTCCGTGACATCCCATAGGAGCTGTGGAGCCAGAGCTTCTACCCGGGCTGTTAGGCTCCAATATTCCTTGTCTCCCGGGCTGTGGTCTCTGCCCCCAATCCTTCGCTCTGTCCTTCCCATGTAGTTTGAGACCAGCCTTACTGTCAGATGCCAGGTCTGTTGGCAGCCACTTGGTCTGAACTCTTGATGTCTGCAAGACTGGGCCAGAGGTGAGTGGTCCTGCCCTATGCCTATTTAGGGGCACCCCTCCCCCTCCCATCATCGTTCCTTGATTCCACTCCATCACCAAGGCTTCTTCTCTTCCCTCTTGGTGGTGTTAAGTGCTGTCCACTCGGTTCTGACTCAGAGCGACCGTGTATAGGGTTTCCAAGGAGCAGCTGGCAAGTGCGAGCTGCCGACCTTGGGGTCCAGTGCTTTAACCCACAGCGCCACACCAGGGCTCCATGGGCCATACAAAACCCATGAAACCATTTGGTGGTCCTGCCAAAGCAACTGCAGTACCAGCCATCACGGTTGTTGTTAGATGCTGTCAAGTCGGTTCCGACTCATAGCAACTCTGTATAGGGTTTCCAAAGAGCAGCTGCTGAGTTTGAACCACCCACATTGTGGTTCAAACCAACCTTGAGGTCAAGTGCTTATCCTATGGTGCCACACCAGGACTCCAGCCATCACATTGCTATTAAGTGCCATCGAGTCAATTCTGACTCATAGCGACCCTGGGTTTCCAAAGAGTGGTGTGCCTGAACTGCCGACCTTACGGTTCAAACCAACCTTGTGGTTGAAGGCTTATCCTACAGCACCACACCAGGACTGCCATTACATTTGTTGTTGTGAAGTGCCCTCAAGTCGATTGCAAACCATAGAGACCCTTTATAGAGTTTCCGAGGAACAGCTGGTGAGCTTGAACCACTAACCTTGCAATTCAAAGGCTTTGCAGTCTGGCACATTAACCCACAGCACCACACCAGGACTCCATTACATTAAGGGTGGGTTAATTCAATGTTTGAATAAATATAGCAGGCTAAGTTTTAAGTTGATCATTTTCTACGGTCTGTGAATGATGCTAGAAATTTTGGCAGAAAAAAGGTTCCCCACTCCTGCTGTATAGTTTTTTTTTTCAAGAAGTGGTTGGTGGCTTTTGCCAGTTAGCAGTCCAGTGCTGATCCTACAGTGCCACATTAAACTGGGTTCATTAGGCAGGTTGGAAGCCAGAATTCTACCTCAACAAACTAAAACCCTAACGCCGGGGCCCTTCTGCCTCGTTTCAGTTTTGAAGTTGCGTTTTCAGGCCAGTGTATGCTTGGCCTCCAGCTGAGGTGTTAGGAAATAACATGAGTCCTCCCCGCCCCAAAACTCCACCCTTCCCTTCTGAGAGGGCAGCCAAGTCCCAGGCTGTGCCTAGCTCAGGTCCCTCCCACTTGTAGACATATAAATTCTGCTTGGAATGCAGTTTTGTACTCACACTGCACCAACACTTTGCCACAGCACACTGAGGTGGTCACAAGGCTAGGATCCTACGAGGTCAGGTGAGTACTGGGGTGGGCCAGACCACCCCTCACCCTGCTCAGCTCTTGGCCCCCAAATGCCCAAAGCAGCTTTATCTCGATCTCTGTCGTCCTCTGCCATCACATGTCAAATCTTCCTCCACCCCTCCCCTCCTCTGCAGAGTGTACAGTGTTTGCACCAAGTGGCCCTGTTTACCCGGGAGTCGAGAAGGAGCTGGATAGCAGGCCCAGCCTTGGGTGGAGCTCAGGATGTGGGAAGAATGGCTGGTTGGCAGGCTCCTGGGTCATAGTTTTCTCACCTGCACTTTGGAATCACTAGGAGAGCTTTATGAACAGACTGGTGCCTGGACTCCCGGTCCAGAAACTCAATCCCATGGCTGTCGAGTGGACTCTGATGCATAGTGACTTTACATCACAGAGAACTGCTCCCGAATGTTTCTGAGGCTGTAAATTTTTACAGAAGCAGATTGTCACATCTTTCTCCAAATGAGCAACTGGTGGGTCTGAACTGCTAACCGTTTGGTTGGCAGCCAAGCACTTATCCACGGTGCCTGTAGGGTCCCTTTTCCCATACTTGGATTGGGTATGGCCCAGGCATTGGGAGTTTTCAGATCTCTGCAGGCAAATCAAATGCACAGCCAGGGTTGCACGTCACTGCCACTAGAATTAGATCTAGCTCTACCACTCACTCGATTTTGAACTTGTACAAGTCACTCAGTTTCTCTGAGCCTCAGTGGCCTTGGCACAGGGTATCACTGTGCTGCTTTCCAGGGAAGTGGACCGTGCAGCCCTGACTTGGCAACATGGAGCTAATCCAGGACAGTTTCCGCCAGCCGCTGAAGTACGTGAAGGGGGTCCCGCTCATCAGTTACTTTGCAGAGGCAATGGGGCCACTGCAGAACTTTCAAGTCTGGCCCAATGACCTGCTTATCAGCACCTACCCCAAATCTGGTAGGTGACAGAGGGACAGCCCCGCTTCGGGCTTTAGTCTCCACTCTGGGCCAGCAGGGGCTTGCTCTCCCTCTCTGCAGGTACCACCTGGGTGAGCGAGATCCTGGACATGATCTACCAAGGTGGTGACCTGGAGAAGTGTCGTCGGGCCCCTATCTTCATGCGGGTGCCTTTCCTTGAGTTCAGTGCCCCAGGGATTCCCTCAGGTATGTGGGTGGGCACTGGAGGCGATCAGAAGGAGGAATAACTGGGCTCGAGTTCACTGGGCCTTTCCCTCCCATGGCTTAGGCATAGAGACACTGAAGAATACACCAGCCCCCCGGCTCCTCAAGACCCATTTGCCTCTGTCCCTGCTCCCCCAGGTTCTGCTGGATCAGAAGGTCAAGGTCAGTGGCAGAGGTAGCCATGAAAGGAGACTACTGAGACCATCCCAGCCCTGGCTCTCTTCCTCCAGGATGGTCTCCCCACTTCCCCAAGTCTTGTCAGACCCTTTCCCAGTACAGACTGGAGAGAAGCAGAGTAGGGGGTACCAACGGGCCCAAGAGTGGAATAGAGGGGTTACTGCTGTTGAGGTAGTGGTGCTGCTCAGGATTAGAATAGCCTAGGTTTCCAGGGACCAGTCAGGACTCTTAACATTGGATCTCAGCAGTTGCAGTTGTATTCCCTCACGTAGGTCAAGCTCGAAACTGCGGTTACCCCCTTTGCCAAATCAAGAGATCACTCCCTTGCCGGGATGCCGAGGATAGTAAGAGGACGTGGCGCTGGGCGGTAATGGCTTTGGGTGGTCATCTGTCCATTCAGGTCATCTATGTCGCCCGTAATGCAAAGGATGTGGCTGTTTCCTACTACCACTTCTACAACATGGCCAAAGTGCACCCTGATCCTGGCACCTGGGATGACTTCCTGGAGAAGTTCATGGCTGGGGAAGGTAGGCCTGACTGTGGAGGAGGGACGGGGGCAGTCAGCAAAAACTAACCACCTGTGTTGGTGCCCTTCCCCCAGTGTCCTATGGGTCCTGGTTCCAGCACGTGCAGGAGTGGTGGGAGCTGACTCATACCCACCCTGTTCTCTACCTCTTCTATGAGGACATGAAGGAGGTGAGACCACCTGCTCCCCACCCCCAGGAGGGCTCCTGGACCCCTCCTCCAGCCCTTCTCCCACAGGACTAACCAGGCCCCGTGATCTCCTCCCTAGCAGCAGCAGCAGTACTTTGTACAGCTCTTATCTCCTAGCCCCTGAGCTAGCTGTATGTTCCGCATCAATCAGTTAATACTGCTCCTCCCAGCACTTGTCCAGTCAGGGCTGGCCCAAGCTCCAGGGCCAGTTATGAGAGGACTGCCCTCATCCATACGTAATCACACATGGCTCACTGCCAAGACCACAGGATAGAAAGCAACTTTTTTTGACTCATAGAAAGATGACCAGAGTCAAGGGGTTGCTAAGTGGAAGTGGCCAGATCCCTGAACTGTTAGGCTTCTGTTTACGCAACAAGCAATCCAAGCTTTCTGCTGCCTCCAGGACCCGAAAAGGGAGATCCAGAAGATCTTGGAGTTTATGGGGCACTCCCTGCCTGAGGAGACAGTAGATCGCATAGTCCAATACACATCTTTCAAGGAGATGAAGAAAAACCCCATGGCTAACTACAGCACTTTGCCCACCGAAATCATGGACCACAACATCTCCGCCTTCATGAGGAAAGGTGAGTGCCCACCTGCCATAGCTAGTCCTGGAGGGCTGGAGGGAGAGTGGAAGCAGCAGCTAGAGCCAGACCTGAGTGACCTGGGGTGTCCTTTGTCCCTGGAACCACCACCCTGCCTCCTCCACCCTCAGGCATCGCAGGGGACTGGAAAAGCACCTTCACTGTGGCCCAGAATGAGCGCTTTGATGCCCACTATGCGGAAAAGATGGCAGGCTCCAGCCTCAGTTTCCGTTTCCAGCTATGAGGGGCATCACTCCAAAGAGTGGTGTAAAACAAGGCTGGCATGGCCTCACGAATAAAATATGGTTTGTGTTCAATGGAGAGCCTGTATTGGAAGCAAAGAGAAAACCTGAATTAAGAGTAAATGCCCACTGAGACCAACAGGGCCACCCCACTGCAGCCTCCAGTTCCCCTGCTTGCACTATTTGCAAGGGAAGTGGGTCTGAAGAAGTAAAACGCAGGAGATGGGTGTGGGCAAGGGGGGAAAATATTTATTTGCTCACAGAGAAGCTCTGTTTCCTTCCCTCCTTGGTGGCAGGGGTGCAGCCTGATGGCTTGCTTCACTTTTTCTTGGGCTCTTTACAAGCCACCACGTACCTCTGTGCCACATTCAGGGGAGGGGAGTAACCGTCTGCATAGGAGGTATCTTCAAACAGGACCGAATAGTCATCCTGGGGCTGCGGCAGGAAGCAGACACAAGGGCTGGTCAGAGACTGCCAGGCGAGACCTCCCTAGCTCCACCTGGTCCCTCAACCTAGACCATCACTTTCTGGAGCCAAGAAGACTAGGTGGCTGAGCCCCCCTAGTCCTTATTGCTACAGAGCTGCTTCCTTATAAGAAAGGGTCAAGAGCAGAGGACAAAGCAGAGAAGAGGAGGGATGGGGGGCCCTATGTGGGTGGGCCTAACTGGAGGCTCTTGTGCCCTGACCCTGTGTTAAGGGGACCAAGGGGGAGCCCAGAGGCAGCATCAGGCAGGGGTCCTGGAGGAAGAGGAGATAGCAGTGTGTGGCCTGGGGGCTGACAGTGCCAAGTCAAAGGTGGTGGCGCAGGAATCAGGAGATCTGGAGAGAGGCCCTGGACCTGGCTCGCTTCCTTCTCAGGGCCGTAGACACACAAATGAGCTCAGACTAAAGGACACCGCAGCTCATCTGAGCAGGGCCAGCTACTGCCACCCTAGAGGACAGGGTTGCAGGGCTGTTCCATAGTCTCTGAGAGGAGAAAAGGAATGGCGACGTCCCCATGACCCCATCTGTTGTGCCTGGTCCTGGGTCATGGGGGCTGCCTTACCCGCTGTGGGGGTGTGTGGATCAGGGCCCGGTAGAAGCAGGTGGTCTGGGGATACAGGGCCAGAACAAGCTGTTCTTTTTGAAATAAGGCTTCGGGGTCTGTCTCGGGGTTGGCCTTCCACTGGGGCAGAGGGATGATACGACGCCGACTTAAGGTGTGTCTCCTGGGAGCGGGAAGGAGGGAAGCTGGTGTGAACCCACGGCCAGGTAGGGGCTCCCCCAGCAGCCTAGTGGTGCCCTCCCTGGCCCAGACACTCACTCCTTGCCTTCCTCATCAATGTCATCCACCTCATACCTGCAGGGGAACAAGACGGGGGTGCAGTCAAGTACCCAGGCCAGGTCAGAGAGTGTTGCGGGGAGGCAGGAACAGGGAGAGCATGAGTTGTTACCACCCCCACAGCACCCCAGGAAAGCTTCATGCCTGTTTTATAGACCAGACAGGGTGGTGCCAAGAGAACAGGGTCTACTTACTTATTGGTGGCATGGCTGTAACTGACCACCTCAGCCAGGATCCACTGCTCGTCCCCGTCCATGGCCTTCACCCGGGCAGCCACCTTGTCTCCAGGTTTGGCCACATAGTCCCCGGAGGCTGGAATGGCTCCACAGAGGGGTGGGGGCCTGGGAGTGGAGGAAACTGTTAGTCCCACCCAAACCCTGGAACCAGTCCCTCCTGTGCCCTCCATCCAGCCTGGCTGCCCTCACTTGTCTCCAGGCTTCCCGATCCACAGGGGTAGGGTCATGGCAGACTGCTGTAGCAGGGTCATCAGCACCCCTCTGCGCATGGTCTTGCGAGGGGGCTCCGAGTCATTGTACAGGCCTGCGATCTTGGCCGCTGTGGGAAGGAAGTGAGCCCCCCATTCTGAGACAGGGAGAGCATCCTGTCCCCGATCCCTCCAGCACACCTGCAGGGAGCCTAAGCTCAGAGTCGCCCCCCACCTCTCAAAGCACAATCCCTGTCCTGGCACTAGATGCTCAAGACTAAAAAGACCAGAGTGAAACCAAGAGATTAACTTCAAGAGAGCAGAGACAAAGGGACAAATAGGGAGGGCTTGTGGTTTCTTGACCTGGGTGCTGGTTACACACAGTGGTGTTAGTTATTGGAAAATTCATTAAACTGTACACATGTATGTTTTCCTATTGACATTATGTTGTGATTCAATAGAAAGTTAAAGTAACAAATGTAAATGGCTCCCTAACCTCAGGCAGGCTCAGCCACCTGACACTTTTGAGGAGTGAGGTGTCTGCCCACCATGGTTGAGTTGAAGGGCAGGGTATAGGTGGGAAGGCCAAGGAACTGGCAGTCTAAACAGGTCTGGGAAGCTACACACTGTCGATGCCTCTTAGAATGCCAGCTTCAAGATACCCAGGCGTGGCTCTGTGGAAGCAAGCCAGGTTCTCACATAGCAAGAAATGGCACTGGGGCCTGAGGAGGAAGAGGGAAGCATGAGGGCAGCAGTGGGTCCACGTGTCTGAAGGGCGGGGAGACCCAGAGACTGGAATCATCTGCACTCATGTCCCAGTGCCCCTGGGGAAGGACCACCCAGGCCCGGGGTTACAGAGGCCCTGTGGTCAGCAACACCAAGCTGGTTCTCTCTGCTCACCTATCCGCCGCTCCTCCAGCAGAGACTTGATCTCAGCAATTTTATCAAGGGCTTTCCGGAGGATGCTGCAGGGAGAAGGGGAAGGTCTGGCTGAAGTATTTCACTTAGACTTCCTCATCTAGTAGTGGCAGGCCAACATTTGGACCAGCAATCAACACTAAATCTGTGTCTTTTAATCTTAAAAGCATCAAAAAAGCAACAAGGCCATAAGGCAGGCAAGCCAGCAACTGGAGAGAAAGCAGGATCCTAGAGTTCTCTACACAAGCTGGGAGAGTTGCTTTGGCTAAGCGCAGCTGATGAATTCTGAGGATACATTGCTGCAGTTCTGACAGCCTCTATGGACCCAGCAGACAGAAGCTGAACCCCAAGGTCTGCCCAGGGTGGGTTGCGTAAAAGGAGACCTGCCCCTGCTCCCACCCTAGGGGAGAGGTGTCTTGGCACAAAGCAGGGTTGGGTGAGGGCAGACTTGTTCCTAAAAGGCAGACCTTTGCATGGACTTGTAGTCCCAGGCAACATCTGTGAAAGTCCTAGAGTGGCAAAACCCATAAAAACAGTTGCCTTCGAATTACTTCCAATTCATGGTGACCCCATGTGTGTCAGAGTAGAACGGCTCCATAGGGCTTTCAGGGTTTTGACCCTGTAGAAATAGCTTTCTTCTGAGGTGCCTCTGGGTGGTTTCAAACCACCAATCTTTTGGACTTCTCCAGAGTGGCAGAGACCCCAAAAAGCTGACAGAAGCAAACCGGATTTCTTCCAGAGAAGCTCCTCAAAGAACACTGCAATGTGAGGGCCATCATGTCTGCAACTTACAACGCTCAGAAAACTGATCAAATGTGTGTGGATAGAGAGTGACAAAACATATGTGGCACAGTGGTACAGTTCTCTAATCTGAAGTCATTTCAAAATAAAAGATTAATACCAATGTCTGAGCTCCACCCCAGCTAGAAACTCTGGGTAACATCTAGATTTGAGAATCACGCAAACTTAAGAAACCCTGATGAGTTAAGTGAAATCTGTATGGCACAGAGTACCAGAGCCTTTACTACTTTAGTGTGTGTTGGGAATTTCTAGGAACAAAATGTAATATTCAACTTCCTAATGTTATTGTAGTCCCACTCCGATCACTGTTCAAAAAGCAGTTTTCTTGATGGAAACTTTAGGTCTGACTTGCCAGCTAAAGCGTGAGCATGAAAGAAGCTGGGCAGAGACCCTCAGGATGGGGTCACCCAGGAGGCTGTCTGCAGCTGGAACAGTCAGTCCTCCGCAGCCCATGACCATTAGTAAGAAGCAAAACTGTGGGCCCCTCTTTAGAAGAAGCCAATACTATACATACAAATTCACAGTAAAAGTGTCTGATCGAAACAACATTTAAAAAAAAAGAAAAAGGTTAAAAAAATATATCTCCCTTTTGGGACTTATCTCTTGCTGAGCTAGACAAAAAGCAGCTAAACCACAGGCTCCATCCAAGTAGACCCTGGCCACCCACACCCTCCTGTCCCCGGCCATCTGGAGCAACACTGGCAGGCTCCGGGCACCTGTGGGCCCAGGCTGTGGTGGGGGAAGACATGCCAGCCTTCCAGGTATATGGCTTTGCACACTTCCTCTAGTTAGCTGTCCCAGCCAGTATCTGGCTTACCAAGATCTCCAGGGCATGCCTTCTTGCCTCGAGGCACTGGCTACTTCAGCCCACAAGTCACTCAGACCCTTGGAAAGCTGAACTGCACCCTCTGGCTCCACTGGTTTAGACACTCATCCAACTCCCATTCCTAGCTGAGCCTTGGAGTCACTGAGACTATGATCCACTGTTGGTGGCAGAGTGTCCCAGAAGACACCATGGATCATACTGGTCACAGTGCCCATGGGGAGACGCACCTTCAGAAGTGCTTTTTACATGAATGCTAGAAAATCCTATGTCCCCACGAGGAAGGGATACCCATCCTCCACTTGGCTATGGAGAGCGAGATCTTTGACCCTGCTTCCCTTTGACCCCGGCTCCAGTGTGCCATAACAAGGCCTTTAGAAACTGAGATCAGTTGTTAGAAAAAGTAATGGGTTGTCAGACCAAGACTTCCAGAGTTTAGTTTTGAGAAGAGGAAGGCAGTGGAAAGTGCCAGCTCAGTTGGTCCCTTACCATCAGGAAATGTGCTTCCATCAGAAAACCAACCCCCTGAAGGAGGAACATATATGTCTCATTTTCTGTCTGAAATCCCTGAAATGAAGTCTAATAGGCTCAATCTCAACCCCAGTAACAATCTTTAGAAGAACAAGATGGTCTTGATCACAGTACAGAGCAAACTGTTGAGAAAATATTAGCTACAGAGCAGACAGACCAAGTGAGTGAAAACGCACCTGGCATAGAGGAGCCAGAGAAGAAACCCAGAGAGACCGAGAAGGAAGAACTCTCCGTGGATGAAGCCAACTCACCAGATCCCAGTGTGCATTCTTCTCCTAATCCTGAACTAAGTGGAGAATCTTGGATGACAAATGAGTAAATGCTTCTATGAGCCTTCAACAGGATACTTGTAGTATTGTTAATGTCAGCTATTGCTTTCAGGTGGTGTGTTTTCATCTTTTTTTTTTTCCCCCTTTAAGGATATGCTTGATATCATTTGAGTTTTGATTGTCTAGCTATTTCAGAGTCAAAGCTGTATCTACTGGATATTAAAATTAAAAGCAAGTGAAGTCTGAAGAGGGGAAATAATACTAAGATGCTTGTAAATATTGGTTTCCCTTGCCTATGATTGTAAAATAGACACTTGAGTGGGATACAAAGGAATGTCAAGAAACATGATTACAGAAAGCTTGTAAGCCCATCTTCAGCCTATAACTGATTGGAATACCTAAAAGGGGTTCTACAAATTGCCCAGTGAAATAGGCCTCTTGAAGAACCTTTGCAGTGTATAGGACCTTTAGGTGAAATCTTGAGCCCCATCCAGAACCTTCTGAGGAGAAACATTCCTACTAGAAAGAACAAGCAGACCAGCCTGGAACACCTAGAGCAACAGAAGATACATCTTCAAAGAAAGATCATCAGGGGAAAATATAATTAAAATGGCACTATGAGTGGCTACTACAAGAATAAGCAAGTTGTTTGCTGGGAAGCCATCAAGGCAAGCATTCAAGTTCCCTCAGGACTAACCCCCCTCTAAGACTGAAACTCAAAGGAAACACATGAACAGACATGTAAGCTTGCTGATGACCACATTGGTCTACTGGTGGGTAGAAGAGGGGGAAATGCAGCAATGAAGTAATGGGATAAGTTTGACCATGTTCCATGGACTCCCACTGACCTGGAGATGAGAGAGAGAAGAGGAAGAGCTGGTTGGTCCAAAGTGTGGTGAGACCTGGGGACACCTGAGCCCATGGACAAGGACATAGCCACAGAGGGCTAGAGCTGGGAGTGAAGCATCCAGCTGATATGAAGTGAGGGGAGATGCACAAGAACACCAAAACTTGCATACAGTACCCTGGCCTTGATGGCTTGATAATCACAACTCGACTAGAGGAAGATTTTTATTTATTTATTTATAAAGTAAACAAAGGTAAATTGCTACAATTTGAAGAACCTGACTTACACTCATGGAGGTAGTAGCTCTAAATGCCAACAGACAGGGAAGAAGTCTTCATATCAATTATCAATGCTATCCCCTCTGTACACAGTGTAGATAGGGACGGGCTACCTAAAATGAGGGGACAATAAAGGCATGAAGTGACTGGCTTATAAGGTTTCAAGAGGGAGTTTAGTTTAAGAGTGTGTGAGGCAAGGTAAGAGTCCCCACTGAATAAGTTTCATCTTGTGTAGATGGGTCTGGTTAAAAGAGATGGGGATAAGATTCATATGATTCAATAGTGAGTAATTGTTATCATGACTAACTGCGACTCACAATAGTAAAGGTAGAAAAGAAATTTTGTAACAAAACCGAGGGAGTAGTTAATCTTACAGTCCAGAAACAGAGGACCCTAGGACCATCAAGGGAGAAGAGCACAGCGGAATGTGGGACCTTATCCAGAAAAGCAGCAACACCAGAGATGGTGGCAAAGATGGAGACAGGGAGAAAGGGAGCAGCTGAGGACTCTAGATTTATGGGAAGAGAGGAACTGAGAGCTGGAGGCCAGGAGACAGACTTGCAGAATGTGCCCTTCGGTGGTGTAAATTATTATATATGTCTGAGTGTTTAAAAAAAAGCTAACGTGACTAGAGATAAATATATGGTACATGGAGGGGATTATAATAATTGTAATGAAACAATGTGTGTGATTTGTTGAATGTAAAACTGATGATCTGTCCTGTAAACTGATGATCTGCCCTGTAAACTTTTACTCAATTCACAATAAAAACATTAAAAAAAAAAAAAAATTAATGGGTTGTTTCCACTTTCAGCAAAGAAAAAAAGGAAACCCAGCTGGGTAGTGGCTGTGGCACATGTTAAAAGAAAGTGTCCCAGGATGGGGGCTCCGGCGGCTCCTCAGCTTCCTCAGGGTTCTAAAGTCTAGTCTCTTGACCAAGCTGATGCACTTTCCAGCACCTGTAGGAGCACCTCTCCTGGAGCCACCGTGCTTTCCACCTAGATGGGCACCACTGCATCCACCTTGCTGCTCCCTGTCCTGACTGAGCTGATGGCTCAGGTGCTCACTGAATGCACAGGTGATGGCGTGAGAGCGCCAAGAAACAGAATAGCTGCAGGATGGCAAGGTGCTGGGAACTGGGCTCATAAGACAGGCGTGTAAATGTCTGGACTCTGGGTCAGCTAATGCCTGGCCAGGAGAAGCCCCCAAACTGCTTTCCTAGAGGCCCCGTTAGCCATCACCTGGGCTAGAAGGGACAATTCACCTACACTCCCAAATCAGCCTGATTCACTCTGACTTAAGTACACGACACTCGGGGCCAGGAAAGTGGGGAAGGGCCTGAGTGTGGCCAGACAGTCATTCTACAAACCAGGGTGGGAAAGCCGAGAGAAGGCCACCACAGAGGTAGTGCCTCCAATCAGAACTCACCATCTCCTCTCCTCGCTTCTATTTTGGCTTTGCTCCCCAACCTGGCACAGGGAGCCCCATCAGATTCATTTGTCCAAGCTAAAACCTTCAACTTCTCTCCCATATGGTCACCCAATCCTTGGATTTGATCTCAAAACAACTCTGGGATGGTCCTTGCTGCTCCGTCCCCACTTCCATCGTCTCAACTCAGCTCCAGCACCATCTCTTGCCTGGTTTCCCAGCTTGCCTGGAATCTCACTCTGTCCATTCACCAGACAGATAGCAGCCAGGGGATATCCTGCTCCCGAGTCATCATGGCAGCCTGTGGCCTCAGGAAAGTTCACAGTGCCAGAGCCTGCATGGCCTGACGGCCCCTTTCCAGCCTCAGACAGGGACTAGTCTTCATCCTGATGTGCACATGCTCGACAGGCACTCCTCGTGACCTCTGACCCTTCCTGCTCTGCCCCAGCTATCTGCCTTCTCCTCGTATGCCTGTGATACCAGCTTAGGTTTCACTCCTTCCCTGAGACCACCCCAGATCCCTGGGCATGGGGGCCACATCTCCGCTGGTCCACTAGTTACACTGGCCTGCCCTTTATCTCTGCAGGACCCACACTCACATCTCTCTAGGGAGAGGGCCTGGGGCCAGATGCCAGTTGGGCTCCAGCAAAGGTCTGCAGAGTGTCTGCGAGCAGCAGGAAGAGCCCGTGAGAAGTTGGGGTTGCAGTTCTCTCTGCTCCGGGTGCCTGAATGTTAGCTGTCACCACGGAGCTGAAAGCTGCAAGTCACTAGTGATGCAGCTCATTTCTTGGGTAACAACCAGCATTTTTAAAAAACAGAAATCAGAAGAGACTACACATAGGAACAGGAAGAAGTGTACTCCAGAATTCCTGCTCACTCTGTGGTATGCACACAGATAAAGGTGTGCTGTGCGGAGACGTGCTGGTATTTGGAGAGGTATAGCTCAGTGTCCATCCAAGGGCCTGAGTGACTTACAGGCTAAAGTAGTAACCAGGGTTTAAAATCAGAATTACTACTTATAACTAAGCAACTTTTGGGTGATTACATAACCCCTTTCTGTGCCTCAGTTTCTTCATCTGAAAAATGGGAGTAACATCACAAAGTACCTCCCAGGGTTGCTGTGAGGTAAATACATAAAGTGCTTAGAATAGTACCTGTAACACAGTAAGTGCCACATTGTTGTTATTAAGTGCCATCAAGTCTATCATGACTCTCAGCAACCCTGTAGAGGGTTTCCGAAGAGCGGCTGGTGAATCTGAACTGCTGACCTTGCAGTTCAAACTGATCTTGCGGTCCAAAGCATTAACCCACAGCGCCACACCAGGACTCCCTAAGTGCCACATAACAGTTAGTTATTACTGTTAATGAACTACAATTTTGTTATTATTAAATACTGTCAACTCGGTTACAACTCACAGCAACCCTGGATAGGATTTCCAAGGAGTGGCTGATGGGTTTGAACTGCCAACCTTGTGGTTAGCAGTCCAGTGCTTATCCTGTAAACAGTACCACATCAGGGCCCCATTAATGTCAATGAACTACAATAGAAACTATTTTTTTATCATGGGTCATGGTTAGAAGAGTTTGATAAACACTGGTATTAGGCACTTCACAGGTACTGTGGAATGGCAGACACTATTTTATATCTTGGAAGAAGTACAGCCTGAATGTTCCTTTTGTGGGACTGGTGCAGGACTGGGCAAAGTTTCGTTCTGTTGTGCACAGAGTAGTTATGAGTTGAACTGACTCAATGGCATCTAACAACACTGATGTTTACAGTCCTGTTGCTGTTTGTTGTAAAGTGCCGTTGAGTCGATTCTGACCCATAGCGACTGTACAGTCCTATAGGGAGCTATTATCCCGTTACCCCATGTTAATGACGAGCAACTAAATCTCAACTACATTGACTGCTCCAGGTGACACCTCACCCACACTGCTCTGCCATCTGTAACAGCAGTGCCAAGGCCAAGAGGGGACCCAGCAGCAGTGGGTTTCAGAGAGGGTGGAGGCTAGAGAGTAGGAACTGATTCCTCCATGGGGCTGTGTGCAGGGAAGGACGAGGGAGGCCGTGTGGGGTGCTACTCACTTGCACTCGGCCTCTGCATCAGCCTTGGCAGTTGTGTAGAGGCCGCGCAGCTTTGTCCGGTAATAGGGAGAGACTGCAGAGTAAACACAAGGATACAGAAGCAAAGGGCAGTGGCAATAACATAGCCCTGCCTCCAGCACACCAGAAATCACAGGCCTGGGGCCAAGGTCTGAGCTTTACCGGCTCAGATGTGCTCCCCGAGGCTGATAGCCTACATTCAATAAGCTCCTATTTATAAGGAATCTCCAGGAAAGGACTTCCAACCATTTCCATGTCATTACACATGTGGAAAATGTTTGTTAGCACACTGGGGGAAACAGTTCTCAAAGCTACTTAGAGTTGGGAAGGAGCAGCTGGGAGTCAGTCACCCCCAGCCAGACGGATCCGTAGTTCAGGACGTTAGCAGAGAACACTCCAGCGGCCTGAGGTGCCTGTGCATCCGCAGGGCTTCCCATGGCTGCATCCTCATTTCACTGCCTCTCCAGACCCCAAAGCTGAAGGATACTTAGGCTCCCTAGGATCGGCAGGCAGTGAGAAGACTGTCTCTCTGGCCCAAGGGGCAGCTCATTCTGGAATACGGCAGATACTTGCAAAAGTCTCCTTCAAAGATGGTAACAGCCACGCTGCCAATCTCTGCACCCCACCCCCACCCCTGCCTTCTCCCTGAGCCTGGCTACTCACTCTTATTTTCAGTTTGCATCCGCTCATGGGTCTTCTGAATGTTCACTAAGTTGTGTTCACTCCGGGAACGCTCTTCCTGCAAAGATAAGCAGAACCCTTCTGTGGCACCTGCATACTGGGCTAGAGGCCCCATAAGTATGACCCTCATTTTTCTATATCCATGTTCAGGATGAGTTCAAAAGGATTTCTTTTCCTGATTAATTCAAAAGCACTACAAAAGGCTTTAAAAATTTCAAACACATGTAGATGCTCCTTTCTTAAGAAGGCAGATTCATGCAAAAATCCATCCAAATTCCAACCGACTTCTTTGCAGAAATTGACCATATGAGTCTAAAATTCACATGGAAATTCAAGGTAACCATATACATTGAAACAAGTTTGAAAAAAAAACTAAAGTTGGGGAACTCACACTTCCTGACTGAAAACCTTAATACAAATCTCCAATAATCAAGGCAATGTGGCCACAGAGACCATACATACACAGAGACCAATGGAACAGAATCAAGAGTTCAGAAATTAACCTAGACACTTACGTCAATTGAAAGAGGGAATGAGAGAGGATGCTGTACGAGTTATGTGTTCCCCACATCACCTCAGCTTCCTTTTTTCCCTACCTGATGCAGTAGTCCTGGGACCAGGGCTACAACTACGGATGCTGGAAAAAGAAATGATCTCGAAGCAAGAAGTGAACAGTACTTTTAAGTTCCTTTAAGAGGGAGGTTAGATTCAGAGTGTGTGGTGGGAAGGCATAATCTCCACTAAGTGGTTTTCATCCTGTCTAGACAGGTCTGGTGACAAGAGATGGGGACAAGATTCTCATGCTTCAATAGTGACTAACTGTTATAATGACTAATGTGATTGTCGCAACTGTAAAGGTAGAAATTTCATAGCAAAAAGGGGTGTGAGTGGTCTTACTGGTGTGGAGGACCCTGGGGCCATTAAGGGAGAAGAGTGGGAGTGGAGTGTCGGACCCTACCCAGAGAAGCAGTGACAACAGAGATGATGACATGAAGAGATGGAACAGCTGAGGATTCTAGACTCATGGAGGGAGAGGGGTGTTGGGAGCAGCTGAGCCGAAGTTCCCTGACTTGGGGGTAGTTTAACCGAAGGATCGCATCTGAACAGTTGTGGTCTAGAAACTCGGGCTGCTTCCAAGTCAAGATCCCCATCCCTGAGGAACTTGCAGGGCTGCCTCAGGGCATAGGGAACTTGCAAGGTCTTTCCTTGTACTTAGCTATGTCCTTCGGCTCAGCTTCATCAGTGTTCTAGCTAGCTACCACAAGTTACAGTGTTTCTGATAAAGTTCTGCTTACTGCTGGCTCCTTCGGTACAAGATGTTCTTATACTCCTTACCCTCCCTCAAGTACCTCCCTTTGAGCTGTGTATAAAATAAACTTGCTGCCTTGGTCTGTGTCTCAGTATCTCCATCAGAGTGCTGCATCCCACCTGGTACCAACTTTTTCTTATTTCACTTGTTTCTTCCTTTTATTTCTAATCTACCGTCGCCCCTTCTTGGGTTTAATCTCTCCATGTGGGTTGCGGAGAATAGCCAATTGTCGGACGCAGCAGTTGGCCCCAGCAGAAGGGATGTATGCTGGCGTCAGGGGCAGGCTTGCAGGCTGTGTGTCTGATAGTATATTCCTGAGTTTGGGTGCACATCCCCCCCAAAAAAGGGACTAGAAACGAATACTGTTGAATGATGAAGCATGCAGGGATCTTACTCATTGCAATGAAATGAAATACGATATGATGAGTGTAAAACTAATATCCACCCATGAAAACCATCATTCAATTCACAGTAAAAACTTTAAAAAAAAAAAAAAAAGCCCACAATGAGATATCATCTCACTCCAGCAACTTAGACGCAGGCTACCTAAAATGAGGGGGTTATTGAGGCACAAAGTGACTGATTTACAAGTTTTCAAGAGGGATTTTAGTTTCAGAGTGTGTGGGGGAAGGTAGCATCCCCACTGAATAGTTTTCATCTTGTTTAGATGGGTCTGGTGAAAGAAGATGGGGATAAGATTCTTATGATTCAAGTGAATAATTGTTACCATGACTAATTGTGACAGACACAACTGTAAAGGTAGAAGTTTTGTAACAAAAATGGGGGTAGTAGTTAATCTTGCAGTCCAGGAACAGAGGACCCTAGGACCATCAAGGGAGAAGACATGAGCGGAATGCGGGACCCTATCCAGAGAAGCAGTGACACCAGAGATGGAGGCAGAGATGAGGACATAGAGAGAGGGAGCAGCTGAGGACTCTAGAGAAAGGTTGTGTGCTGGCAGCCAGGAGGCAGGTTTACAGAATGTGCCCTTTGTTTAAATGATTATATATTCATTTTGTGTACATCTTCCCCCCACAAAAACAAAAAATGGAAAAGAAGCAAACACTGTTGAATGATGATGTATGGAGGGGATTGTAATCATTGCAATGAAACGATGAGTGCAAAACCGATGTTCTCCCATGTAAAAACTATCACTCAATTCACAATAAAAACTTTAAAAAAAATTTAATCAAATGAAAAGATAATGGAGTTTACCCACAAACTTCTGAATCTCCTTCATAATTACGTATTACACATTTGATGATACTGTCTACGGGTTTCATGGTTATATAGCTTGCTTCACAAATGACAACTTCCTTCAGTGTACAATTCATTTTATATTTTTTCTTATGTCTGGGTACACAGTAAACACTCAGTAAAAGCTTGCTGAATTAAAACTGAAAGAAAAGAAAAAAGAAGATGGAAGGAATCCAGAGTCACTGAACCAAAAATAATTGGTTGACCTACCAATTCAGGAGATAGCAGCATATGATCAAGAATCAGTGGTACTGAAGGAAGAAGTCCAAGGCATTGGTGAAATACAAGGCTCCAGGAATTGTCAGAATACTAACTGAGACTTTTCAACAAATGCATGCATTGCTGGAGGTGTTCACTCATCTGTGCCAAAAAATATGGACGACAGTTGCTTGGCCAACTGACTGAAAAAGATCCATATTTGTGCCCATTCAATAGAATGTGCAAATTATAGAATATCATTAACATCACAAGCAAGTAAAATTATGCTAAAGATAATACAAAAACAAAAACAGGTGCAGCACTTTACTGACAGGGGACTACCAGAAATTCAAGCTGGATTCATAAAAAGAAGTGAATGAGAGCTCTCACTGCTGATATCAGATGGGTCTTGCTGAAAGCAGAGAATACCCGAAAGATGTTTACCTGTGTTTCATTAATTATGCAAACACATTACACTGTGTAGATCATACTCAATTATGGATAACACTGCAAAATACGGGAGTTGTGCTCATGAGGAACCTGCATAAATGAAGAGGCAGTCATTCAAACAGAACAAAGGGATACTTCATGGTTTAAAATTGGTAAACATACGCCTCAGGTTTATATCCTTTCACATATTCAATCTGCATGCTGAACAAATAACCCAAGAAGTTGGACTATATGAAGAAGAATTTGACATCAGGATTGGAGGAAGCCTCCTTCACCTTCGAGATGCCGGTGACACAACCATGTTTGCTTAAAGGGAAGAGGATTTGAAGCACTTACTGATGAAGATCAAAGCCTTTCAGTATGGATTACACCTAAACATAAAAATAAAGTCCTTACGACTGGACCAATAGACTATGTCATGATCAACAGAGAACAGATTGAAGTTGTCAAGGATTTCATTTTACTTGGCTGTACAATCAACACCCATGAAAGCAGCAATCAGAAGAAAATCAAATGACATAAGTGCATTGGACAGATCTGCTGCAAAAGATCCCTTTCAAGTGTTAAAAAGCAGAGACTTTACTTCGAAGACTAAAGTGCCCCCAAGCCAGGTATCATGAACTGAGTTGTGTTCACCCTAAAATATGTGTCAACTTGGCTGGGCTGTGATTCTCAGTGGTGATAAACCAGTAAGAAGTTTAAGAGTGGGCGTTTCCCTGGGTTGTGACCTGTAACACCTTTTATCTTTCACGAGATGAAAGAAGAAAAGAAATGAGCAGAGAAAGGAATCCACTACCACCTAGAAAGAAGAGCAGGAAGTACAGTGTGGCCTTTGGACCTGAAGCCTCGCCACTGTGACGCTCCCAGATCTAGGGGAAGACTGACTTCAAGACACAAAGATTTCCAGGGGACGCTGGGCCCCCAGAGCCTGAAAGGAGACAAGGAGCTTTCCTCAGAGCCAACAGAGACAGAAAGCCTTCTCCTAGAGTCAGCACTCTGACTTTGGACTTACAGCCTCCTAAAACTGTGAGAACATTAATTTGTTAAAGCCATATGCATTTGTGGCATTTCTGTTATAGCAACCCTGGTATTTTCAGTGGCCTCATATGCATGCAGTGTTTCGTTCTGTTGTGCATAGAGTCGCTATGAGTTGGTACCGACTCAATGGCATGTAACAACAGCAATATATGCATGCACAAGCTGGATCATAGAACAACTGATGCACTTGAGTTACGGTGTTAGAGGAGAATATAAAAAGTACTATGAAGAACAAACAAATGTGTATTGGAAGAAGTACAGCCAGAATGTTCCTTAGAAGGAAGGATGGTGAGACTTCATTTCATGTACTTTGAACACCATGTCATCAGGAGGGAGCAATCCCTGGAGAAGGACATCATGATTAGTAAAGTAGCGGGTCCTCAAAAAAGAGAAGATCCGCAACGGAATGGACTGACCCAGTAGCTGCAATAATGGGCTCAGAGACAGGAGGGCTGTGGGGACGACACAGGACAGGGCACTGTTTTCTTCTAAAAGTTTGTGGAAAAATTCCATCATCTTTTAATTCCATTTCCCCAAAATGTTTTGAAACTCCCTCATAGGGTTGTGATGCATTGGAACCAACTTGATGGCAACTAACAACAAGGGAAATCTAATATTAAATCGGGGCCTTGAGAGAGGCTCAGAGCAAGAGAATTCTTTAGCAGAATTACACCAGATGCCTGAAAAGATGAAGTCATGTTGGCTGAGGCAGGGGCAGATTATGTAATAAGCAAGGCTGTTGTTGCTGCTAAATGCTGGTGAGTTGATTCCAACTCATAGCAACCCTGTACAGGGCTTCCAAGGAGTGGCTGTTGAATTGCCGACCTTTCAGTTCAAACCAACCTTTCAACCCAGTGCTTATCCTACAGCACCATATGGGCTTAATTGTGCTTACTTACTGATCTGTAGTGAACAATTGCACTTGTGTTTCAACAGGTTTGCGACCTGTCCATTTTTGACGTGGTGAAACCTAGGTGCAACTGTTCACTGCAGATTACTAACCCTAGTACAGAGGACCCAGCCCTTTTGGGCATTAAACATGTATTCTAACTGTATGTACAATGGTAACAGCATGTGCAATGGACTGACAACACTAGCCCACAGACAGGGAAGGGCTTTAGCATTGTCAGTTGACAGTACAGGCATCCTAGGAGAAACAGAAGTCACTTTTAATGAGGAAGCTCGAAGTAGCCATGGGCATTCTAGCTGCTGAGGTACAGGGGGAACACCTATGAGAAAACACAGACCTCCAAACCCAAGGAAATTCTTGGGGGGTAGGCTAATGAGTCAGACTGCAAAGTTGTTTGAACTGCAAGGTTGGTGGTTCAAGCTCACCAGCCGCTCCTTGGAAACCCTATACAGGGTCGCTATAGATCGGAACTAACTCGACAGCACTTAACAACAACAACAACAACATGTCTCATTTACATTGATGCATTATGAATGCCCCTGCCCCAAGAAGAGATCAAAATAATACATATCTAGAACTACTGTTAGCAGGAGTCCTGGTGTGACATTGTAGGATAAGCACTCGACCTCAAGGTTGGTTTGAACTGCAAGGTTGGTGGTTCAAACTCACTAGCTTCTCCTCAGAAACCCTCCACGGGGTCACTGAGTCAGAACCAACTTGTTGGCACTTAACAACAATTGTTAGCAGGGGGAGTGTGTGGCTCTGCAGGATAAGCACTGGGCTGTGAAGGTTGGCGGTTCAAGCTCACCAGAAGCTCCACGGTAGAAAATGAGGCTTTCTGCTCCTGCAAAGATTTACAGCCTCAAAAACCCTATACAGGGTCACTTAACACCACCACCACCACCACCACAGTATGGTCATGGAATAATGCAGTTTCACTGGAGAGCCAGTCAGGACTGCCCCCAGGATCTCCAAGGCTGTCATCTTTACAGAGGCAGGTGCCACAGTTTTTCTCACGGGTGACTGGTGGGCACAAACTGCTGACGTTTCAGTTAGCAGCTGACCACTTTCACCACTGTGCCCCCAGGAGTCCCTATGAACTATTTAGGATAGGCAAATGCAGACACAATAAATAGATTAGAGATTATCAGGCACTTGGGAAAGCGGGGGAAGGACGGAATGAGAGTTATTTTTTAAAAAAGAAAGAAAGGAATGAAGTACATGCTACAACATGGATATAACTTGAAAACATTATGCTAGGTGGGAGAAGCTAGTAACAAAAGACCATGATTCCATTTCTAAGATATGTCCCTGTTCAAAACAGGCAAATCCTGTTTTCACTTTTTTGGATTTATACCCAGTAAGAGAGTTGCTGAGTCATTGCTGGGTCCTACGGTATTTCTATGCTTAACTATTTGAGAAGCTGCCAAACTTGTAGCTAAATAACTGAGTAATTTTATATTCCCATTAGCAACGGACAAAGGTTCCAAGTTTTCTGCATTCTTACCAATACTTTTTATTTTAATAGTAGCCATCTAGTGAGAGTGAAGTGGTATTTCCTTATTATTCTGATTTGCATTTCTCTAATGACTAATGGACTAATAAATGACATTCTTGTTAATGGAGAAAAGATTGAAGTTGTTAAAAGACTTCATTTTTCTTGGCTCAACCATCAACAATCATAGAAGCAGTAGTCAAGAAATCACACGATGTATTGCATTAGGCAAATCTGTTGCACAAGACCTTTGAAAATGTTGAAGAGCAGAGATCTCAGCTTGAGGACTAAGGTACGCCTGACCCAAGCCATGGTATTTTTAATAACCTCATATGCATATGAAAGCTGGACAGTGAATAAGGAAGACCGTAGGAGAATTGATGCATTTGAATTATGGTGTCAGAAGAGAATATTGAAAGTACCATGGGCTGCCAAAAGAACAAACACATCTGTGTTGGAAGAAGTGCTCCTTGGAGGCCAAGATGGCCACACTTTGTCTCTCATACTTAGGACATATTGTCAGGAGGGACCAGTCTCTGGAGAAGGATATCATGTTTGGTAAGGTGGAGGGTCAGAGAAAAAGAGGAAGACCCCCTGAAGATGGATTGGCCAAGCTCCAGCAGCAATGGGCTCCAGCATGGCAGCACTTTGAGGTTAGCCCAAGAACGGGCAGGGTTTCATTCTGTTGTGCATAACATCGCGATGAATCGGTACTGACTCGATGGCACCTAACAACAACAACAACAATGACTAATGAGGAGTCCTGGTGTGGTGCTAATTACAAAGCTGGTTTGGGGGAAGGTTGAAGGGAGTAAGTGGTACTGGATATGAGGGTGTTTGGGCTGAGTGATCAAAAATGGATGTGCTGCTGGTTGAACAACACTGCGCATATACTAAAAACCACAGAATTGCTTCCTTCAGAGAACCATGCTATCCTGAAAATCTATCACACACACCACAAATTCCCTTCCTCTCACCTTCATTGTATTAGCTTGGTTCTTGTACATTTAATGTCCCCATTCCTTGTTCCCTTCACAGCTCACCAGGAATAGAGGGCTGTGGTTCGTACCTGGGTTTGCTTGATCAACTGATGGAGCTCTGTGAGAAGTTCTGCAATACGGGAGTCAGCAGACACGAGGGCCATGGTGCATAAAGGGCACCTAGAATTGGGAGGAACAGGAGAGAGTCCCATTAGCGGCCTTGACAGCAAGTTGTCCTGGAATTCTACCTCAACTCAATAACAGATCTTTACTCAAAATATGCAACCAAGGCAAGGTATATACTAAGTGCCTTTTAAAAGCAGCACCCTTCAACCCCAGTTCTGCTAACATCTTGACAAATGATTCAAGAGTTCTGGTCTCCATCTGTTATTTGTGAAATGAGGACCACCTCTGTTATGTTTTGAGGGGACTCAAAAAGATTTCATCAGCATTGTGGGTTAATGCGCCAGACTGCAAAGCCGTTTGAACTGCAAGGGCAGCGGTTCAGGCTCACCAGCTGCTCCTTGGAAACACTATACAGGGTCACTATGGGTTGGAATCGACTAGACAGCATTAACTACAACAACAACATTACATCCTATGAGACAAGTAACTCAAAATACACCAATGACCTAAATATAAGAGCTAAAACCACAAAACTTTTAGAAGACAACATAGGGGTAATTCTTCAGGACCTTGTATCTTTCTTACATAAACAAGAAGAAATAGCAAGCAACCTTCACCAGTTTGCAATAAAAAGTTACAAAAAATAAATACTATCACTAACAAAGCATGATACCATCACTGAAAAAATAGAGGAAAATAAGACTTCATCAAAGTAAAAAACAGTTTTTGCATGAAAGAACTTTATTAAGAAAGGGAAAAGACAACTTACAGAATGAAAGAATATATTTGGAAATCAAAATTTGATGAGTTTAATATCCTGAATCTATAAAGAACCCTTGAAACTCAAAAAAGATAAACAATTCTCCAAAGATGACATAAGATTGTCAAAAAGCACAAGAAAAAACGCTGGGTATTATTAGTCATTGTTGCTGTTTTAAGTGCTGTCTAGTCAGTTTCCACTCATAGTGGTTTCCAAGGACTAGCTAGCTGGTGGGTTTAAACTGCCAACCTTGTAATTAGTAGTCCAATGCTTATCCTACAGTGCCACACCAAGACTCCTCTTTAGTCTTTATTGTTGTTAAGTGCCGTCGATTCGTTTCCGACCCACCGCAACCCTATATTGGGTTTACAAGGAGCGGCTGGTGAGCTTGAACCACTGACTTTGTGGTTCAAACAACTTTGCAGTCCAGTGCATTAGCCCACAGTGCCACACTAGGACTCCCATTAGTCATTGTTGTTGTTGTTGTGAAGTGCTGTCGAGTCGGTTCCAATCCACAGCAACCCTGTATAGGGTTTTCGAGGAGCAGCTGGTGAGCTTGAACCGCCGACCTTTTAGTTCAAATGGCTTTGCAGTCTAGCGCATTAACCCACAGCGCCACATTAGTCAATAGGGAAATGCAAATCAAAATTATAATGAGATCCAAGACAAAGACTCAACGGAAATACACGCTCTGATTGGTGACCACACGCATCGCCGATAGAGGGAAGAGGGGTAAAAGCAGCAATAAAGCGGCAAGCTAAGCCCTACAATGTTCAGTGGGCTTCTGTGGACCCATTTGGGAACCTGCTTGGCAAGCATTGAGAAGAGACCTGGGAACTCTTGGGCCCAGAGTTAGTGGCGTGGCCACAGAGGACTCGAGTGGAGAGTGGAGCTACTGGCTGATGGGAAGAGAGGGCATGGGCACAAGAACACCCACACTTGCAGATAGTACCCATGAGACCTGGACCAGATGACTAGATGATCAGAGCTCAACCAGGAGAAGAAAGAAGAGGGGAAAAAAAAAA